TGGAGCCCTGTTTGCAAAATCTTTGGAGAAGGTGGATCCAGGCTCCAGTGCCAAACTATGCACTGCTGCATTTTGTCCTGCAGTCTGAACTCTTCTATTGCAGTCAGTTGATCTGTGCTCAGACACACTGTGCCACATTTTTCTGTGTAGATCAGCAGTGGACAAATACTGGCCTGTGGGTCCGTTCCAGTTCACCAGGGTGGAGCCCTGTTTGCAAAATCTTTGGAGAAGGTGGATCCAGGCTCCAGTGCCAAACTATGCACTGCTGCATTTTGTCCTGCAGTCTGAACTCTTCTATTGCAGTCAGTTGATCTGTGCTCAGACACACTGTGCCACATTTTTCTGTGTAGATCAGCAGTGGACAAATACTGGCCTGTGGGTCCGTTCCAGTTCACCAGGGTTACCCCAGTGGGCCACCGCTGCTGTATTCAACTGCAACTCCACAGGTACAGGTGATGGCAGCGCCTGTTGACCACGGATCACTGTTCCTGGCCAATGGGAGCTGCGGGAAGTGGTGTCCCTGTCTGTGTCACTTCCCACAGCGCCTGTTGTCTGGGAATGGTGATCCACACCTGTGGAGAAGTGATCTGCACCTGCCTCCATACCTGTTGAGGCACAAGGAATAAAGTGGTGGTGACACACCAGAAGCTAACCCTGATGAGCTTCCGTTGTTTTATTGTCCACCTCTGGTGTAGATAAACACTGATAGTTATAAACTGGTTATAGTCTGGAAGCATGAGGTATAGTATCATTTCCAGAATTGTTGTTGTCATTCGCTATCTCGTAGGATATTTCTGTCACCCATAGAACTTTCCAGTCCCTTTTGGGGTGTCTCTAGACTACACCTCTCTGTCGACAGAGATGTAGATTAGGCACATCAAAATTGCTAATGAAGTAGGGATTTAAATATCCCGTGCCTCCTTAGCATAAACATGGCCACCGCTTTTTTCTAAAATGGAGCTTTTTTGAAAAAAATGGCAGTCTAGATGCGTCTCTGTCAAAATAAACCCTTTTTTGACAGATCCGGTAAACCTCATTTTTTGAGGAATACAGGATCTGTTGAAAAAGGATTTATTTTCAACAGATCCGCATCTAGACTGCTGTTTTTTTGAAAAAGCGCTGTTTCGAAAAAAGTGGTGGCCATGTTTATGCTAATGAGGCACGGGATATTTAAATCCTTGCTTCATTAGCAATTTTGATGTGCCTAATCTACATCTCTCTGTTGACAGAGAGGTGTAGTCTAGACACACCCTTGGATTCTTGCTAAATTCTGGCCTCAATGACTTCCTCAATAGACTAATTATCTTCACTATGTACCACCTTTTAATTGAGTGAATATATCCTTGTTTTTGTGTTATGACACAAGAAGAATAGAAAGATCTTCTCTCTCTTTTCTAGACCATTCCATTTTAATATTGTTATATCTTCTCTATTATTTGTCTAAGGTACGGAATTCCATTTTCAGTCATGCTTCATATGAAATATTTTTCCATTTCCCTAATCATTCTTGCTGCTGTTCCCTGAACCACCTCTAATTCTTCAGTAGAATCTCGGCCAACTGACTGGGTTGGATGGGTTCTGACTTCAGGCAAAATGTAGCAGTGACAGGTTTAAATGTCTTTTATTGTTTGGTTTACTCAGAATTACTGGACTAATTTTACTATTAGGGTACATCTACATAGTACTGCATACCTCAAAATAAGCTACGCAATTTGAGCTATGCAAATTGCATAGCTTATTTTGAAACAGCTTATTTCAAAATTTGGCTTTGTGTACACAGTGCCAAATTTTGAAATAAATTGCTATTCCCGCATCTTCCTTACTCCTTGTCAAGGCTAATTCCTCACTCTGGCATTATAAATGCAGAAGAGGGGGCCCGCAGAAGTACCCCAAAACCTTATCTTTCCAGGCTTTGGTATAAAACTTCCCCCCCAAAATCTTAAAAACCTACATTTTGGGGATAAAAATCCGCTGCCACCATCAAGTGCTTTTGAACCCATAAACAGGGGTGAACACTTGAAACCAATACCAGGGCAGCCCAAGCTTTTTTCTCCAAAGAGCTTGAAAAAGAAAGAGAAAATATAAACTGCAGTCTGTGACTGCTATCCCCTAGTCCAAGGCATGCAGATCCCACAGACAGATTTTCCAGGACTGAACCAATACCAGGTTAATTAAAAAGAAAGAACTTTTATTATCAAAACAACACTCCTGTTACACGCATAACTGGATTGGTAATATTCCCTATTAATAAACGTATGGGGAATTTTCCCATGGGCTCAAAACTTAGTCACAAAAGAGAGGAATGTCCATTTCTAACAGCACAGACATCAGATCCACAGTCCCAAACCATAAAACAATAAAACCTAACAGATTTATCTAAACTTTACCCTACGTACAGATGGTGAAGAGTCTTTTCTTGGAGAGAGACATGTCTTCTGTCCCCCATAGTATCTGGAGAGCAAAACTGGCACTGAGACAAAGGAGGGAAAACCCCAAAATTCCTTTGTCTCAGTTTGAAATCCCTACCTGCATTTCTACTGGCTGACTGCTACCTGACTAGGCACAGTGAACCCTAGTCCCCAGGCTGCTGGCCATCCCTCATGACCATGACACTCCTTGTGCAATGATGTTTACAGGAAGCTGGAATGAGACTCCCATTATTTCAAATGTATTTTAAAATAATGGCGGGCTGTTAGGACATGCAAAATTCTATTTCGGGTTAACAGACGTTATCCTGAAATAGCACAGCTGTGTAGACATACCCATAATGTGCTCACAGATTTAAGTTCTCTTACTGATCATAACTGTGCTGGTAAATACACGCTCGTTTCAGAGATCTACCACCAAGCAATGAATG